CAGTTCAAAGTTAAACATGAATCTTACTAAGAGAAACAATGCTTGCACTAAGCCGGCAAAGAAAGTAAGTTTAGACATTTATAATAAATTATTTATATTAAACAGGGTTTGTACAAAGTCTTAAAAGTTTGAAAAATGCTTAATTGTAACCGTTATGTTTTCAAGGATAGGGATATGCTTGAATTTGAGTATACCTGAAAAATGCTTACGTTTCATCCATACAATTACACAAATCAAACCAAAAATCTTTGAATATGTAAAATAAAATGATTCTGTTGTCTTATTAGTTTGTTATGTTATGTTCACTAATCATCCATAGCTAGATAAGTGCTCTGTTAATCCCTTACTCTGGATACTCTTACTCTACATTAATTGTGGTGGATATAAAAGAATTCTGTATGGGTTTATAGTGAAGATGATGGCTTCGAGAGTCTGGAAATCTTTGGTTTGGGTACCTTGAATTTTACTTTGTAAAGCTGTACGAACCCTGATTGTAGTAATAGTACGTGTAATGGACTCCGTACAGAAACCTGTGTGTACAATCTCTCTTTTGAGTATTAAATCTGGAACAATCTGAAAAAGTGTTATTATGTATCTAGTATTTGTAAGAGATCCATGTGTAAATTTACACAGCAGTTGAGGTAAAGCATCACTCATGTATTGGCTGACAGGTTGTCAGAGGTTGACTCTGGTGGTTCAGTCGTCTGCGGCTCAGCTTCTTCTCCACTGGGTGGGTCCAGATTGTGGGCTTTGTTTTACGGTTGTGCAACTTGAGTTCATTTCCTGCTTTGGTGGATCAACAGGTGGGGAAACTTCCCTGTACTCAATGTACATCCTCAAGCACGAAGTCCAAATTTGTCTGTTTTTGACTATAATCACAAAAATTCCATCTTATTAGTAAGTTTTAACTACAATACAAAGATCAACCTTAAAACACTGTAACATGTCTTTCATTTACTCTGTAATCAACTGGGCTAGGCAATATTTCACTATTCACTATTGTTTATGGAACATGGTTCATTGCAATAACCATTAATTTTATGACTTTATATGTGCATTCATGCATACGTTTGCTATATAATCCTCACTATTGTAACAATATGGTATTAGTATGGACCATACCCCCCCTCATTATTTATCTATCAGCTACAGCTGAGTAGCAAAGAGTAAAGTGATTGAGCTACCGACAAAACGAACAAAACCATATTTTATCCACTTCAACGCTTTATCCACGTATTTGTACCATGTCTCAGTACAGAGCGAGCAAGAAGACTGAAGAAAAACACGCTTCGATTGGTTTTGGTGTTTGTGAATCTACTGCAGAAAAGCAAGATGTCTGTTGGTCTGTAGTCGCAGCTTTGGTGAAAATCACCAACAGTAAGAAATATCAATAGGGACATGGATGAGGGAAAAGTTTATAATGGAGTTTTGCTTTAGGCAAGACAATGAATCACAAACAGCTGTTACGTGGCTTACCGTGACCTCTGACCTGGGAAGTAAAATAATTTAACTGTGACATTTTCATTTTAAAATCTTTGTTTTAAAAGTGTCCTCTGACTCGTCCCTCTGTATTTCGGTTCACCACAGTGCCAGATAACATTGAAGTCACTCTAAAGGCCATGCGGGTTGTGTGGCTGTAGTTGCCAGACAAACTCATAAACACTGACCTTTAGTACAGTCGCCCAGAGGGGTGGCGGGGGGTTTGAATGAGGGACATAAAGAGATAGAAAGAGAGAGAGAGGATTGTGGAATGTGGCAGAGAGAGACCAGAAAGTGAATGGATCAAAGAAAAAAGAGAGAAGAAAAAAGATGACTAGAGAGAGAGAGAGAGAGAGAGAGAGAGAGAGAGAGAGCGCAGGCGAGGGAGGAGGAAGGGTGATTAGTGTGTGTGTGAGCCTGAGCTCTGATTGGTCTAGAAGCCTGTATGTGTGTGCTTGCCTGAATCTGTGTGTGTGTGCTTCTAGCCAGTGGGCGGGGGATTAAGCCTGCATCACGTGGTCTCTTTAGCTTCTTTTCCACACAAATATACACCCTCATTCGCAGAGGGCTCCCACAGACACACACATATACACACACACACACATATGCTCTCACATACACACTCACAGCTGTTGATACTTCTATCCCTCTCTGATGAACGCTGGGGCAGCCGAGGAGCAGAGCCCACAGGAATCTGGGAGAATCTGCTGTCTGCTGGCAGCGCGACCAAAAAGCATCTATATGGAAAATCTGGACAGACAAGTGAACCAACTGGTTTTCTGATCGCAGCCTGGCTCTCACTTTCTGTCGTTCATATCCCGCTCTTTCTCTCTCTCGTCTTCCCCGGCTTCTCTCTGGGACCCAGTGTTGGAATTTGAGCACAGACAGCGAGCAACAGAGAAAAATAGAGACATGTGTTTTGCCTCTGCCGCCTACTACGACTGCCTGTTCTCTCCCATTCACTGACCGAGGAGGAAATAGAAGGTTGGTTGGGCTTGGCTTATTTGTTTATGTGCTGGTTTCTAGTGTCATGGCACCTGGTCTGACATTTGGATTTTGTGTTTTAAAGAGACTCTCATTCATTTGTAACAGGAGTCTAGCACGCCTTCTGCTTTTTGTTCCCACTAGCTGCATGAGTCCAAAGATTACCAACCTTAAAACTGATTTGTAGTTTTAGGGGAATTCCATGGTAGTATGGCTGCTTGGGCACACACATACACACACACACACTCCTGCACTATAAACACACTTGGCAGTAACAGTGCACTGAGTGTGAGCACCAGGGAAGATTAGCTGTGGCTATTATCTCTAATGTGTACAACAGTAGAGGCTGTATGTGAGCGAGGACACAGTTGAGCATTTTAAGGTCACTGCCTCACAAGAATCAGCCTTCAGAATACTGCTCACAAATATAGAAATCAGTTGTTTATAAGGAATGTATGTAAAAAAAAAAAAAAAATTAAAAAAAAGTTTTTTAGTGTGTTGTAACCTGCTCAACTGCTGCACTGCAATGAGGTTGCACAAGAAACCAACACCCTAAACTACAACCAGCCGTTAGAGACAAAAACATTCATTAGTGGGCTCAGAAGAAGAGTTTCATAGTAAAGCCGCTGGAGGATCTGTAAGCTGCTGAGCATTTGGCTCTCACACCGTCCTCCAGTTTCACTGCTGGAACTGTCATGCAGTCATGTTTAGACACACCTACCCCTCTGTTTGTGTGTGTGTGTGTGTGTGTGTGTGTGCATGAGTTATAGAGTTGACACTACAGGTCAGTTGTGTGCAGATTTGTTCGTGTGAGTGTGTGTGTGTGTGTGTGTTTGCTCACTGTGCCATTTACAGTGTGTGTGGATATAATTAGCCAAAGTACAGATTCTTTCCTGGTATTGTTGCCGTTGGGCTTGTAACACAACCCAAAAGGCTGTGTGTCTATTTTTGGGGGTGGCAGCTCGTAGCGACACAAGCAACCTTGCTTTGAAGCTCCCCCCAGGCAAGATAAAGATATGAGGTGTGTGTGTGTGTGAGTGGGTGGATGGGCGTGAGGTGGTGTTGGTGCGCGTCTGCCTGTTGTATTAATCAACATTATTGTAACTTCAGCTTTTGTTTGCTGTTATCTTGCTACTAAGTTGTTGTTTTTTTCACATAATGAAGAAGTCTGTTTTGAGGACAGACAATAAAAGGTGAAGTGAGAGATCAGAGAGAGTCAGAGAGAGAATGATGGACAGAGATAAGACGAGGAAACGAGACCAGACGGAGAGACAGATACATGGGTAGACGTAGGATTCCAGATTAGATTAGGTGTCATCAGATGAAGATGGAGAGTTGGTGTTGTCTGAGCCCCTGGCTCTGCTCCAGCTTCAAATGTCAGAGGACTACTGAGGCATTATGGGTGAGCACTCTGTCTTAGAGATATACAATAAGCTCCCATAATAGAAATGAAGTAAGGAACTAATTCTATCAAATAAAAATATGTTCTTTGGATCGGACTGCAGTGCTGCATCAATATAAAGTCATTCAAAAAAATGTGTTCTCGGTTGTTTATAGAGCTACAACGATTAGTCATTAACGGATTATTGTATTTAAGTGAAGAATTGTTGGTTCCAGCTCCTCAAATGTGGGGAATGTAATAAATGGAATCTATTAGACTGTTGAACTACAAAAACATTTAAGCTGTCACCTCAGGCTGTGGGATATTATAGCAGGCATTTTTCACTATTTACAAATTGATTAATCAAGAAAATCAGAAGATTAATTGATACTCATAATAATTGGTAGTTGCAGCCTTACTTATTTATTTGATTTGTTAGTCACCTGCTGCATGCATTTACATTTACAACTAATACATACACAACTCACAGTTCAAACACAGCAGTGCTTGCCCATGTTAGTACATCCAAATTAACAAATTAAACGAAAAGAAAACCCTGAATAAATGAGTGGAGAAACATGACTAATGCAGATGCTTTCAGGACATGAGGGGTTATTGAATGGTTTGATGAGAATGGAAATTATGTAAATCAATTGTCATCAAACAAACACATTTGGGAAAATGGAGAGGGCTCCAGAGACAAGAAGCTGATTAATCAATTAGTTGATCGGGAAAAGATAAATCAGCAACTGTTTTAATAATTTCTTAATTGCTGAACATTACTTTGTACTGCTGGTAATTTTTCGTTGTTGTATGTGATAGTAAATTGAATAGCTTTGGGTTTTGCACATATTTCTTGGCTTTAGAAATTGGGATCACCATTTTCTGGGATCAGCTATTTTTTGACATTTTATCGACCTTATAATGAATTGATTAATTCAGAAATCAGTCGGCACATTAACCAATAATGAATACAAACATTAGTTGCAGCCAATTTTATCTAAGCTGATATAATTTATTGATTTATGCGGCCTACCTCGGTTTACAACATAGATGAAACCTGCAGTATTATAAGTCTCTCCCTCTGACGCAGCAACAGGCTATTGTTAAACTTAAGGCCATTCATTACAACATTCATCGTGTAACTCCTAGTAACCAAAAACATGTTAAACATAGCAAGGTTTCTAGCAGTGATTGGTTTTATAGCACTCTTAAAATAACTGTTTATAGATGAGAACATTTTCATGGACAACTGAAGAAGACAACTTGTGTCTGCAGAGCTGGGGGGAACATGGGCAGGAAGGAGGGAGGGAGGGAGGGAAGGTCATTAAAGGTCACAGGGTGAGAGGTCGTGGTCACCTTGCCTTGGGCTGCCGTCGCAGTCTAGCGCCCTTCAGTAAACAGAGACTGCCTCGCCTATCTGCCACAGATTAATGGAGCTTAAATCAATTACAATACAGCGCTGTCCTCCAATGCCATGTCTGCAAAGGGCAATTGTGTCTCACATTTCCAGTCGGTCACTGAACTCAAATCTGAAGTTCTGGCATTGTTGTCAAACTGTTTCATGAATCACAACAGAGCATCTGCCATTAGCATGAAATCTGAATTATAAACTTTGATGCTGTAATACAAGGTTTAGATTTCATTCTTATGCAGAATAATTGTGCACACTCTAACATGCATACACACACAGAGAGCCACTACCACCACGGCCCCCTCCTCTCATCCTCCCAAACCTCCCAACTGTCGATCTCTCTGGATGAGACCAGACCGAGGGGGTTCGGGCCAGGGACAATGATCTATTGACAGAGGCAGAGGGAGGGAGGGTGGAAGCTCATGCTGGGGACTGCTGGAGTTGTGTGTCTTGTGACAGAGCAGGGCTGGGAGAGTGTACTGGTGTATGAGTGTGAGTAAAGGGAGGGGTGAGGCAGGGTTTACAGCTTGGAGGGGGGTGTGTAACTGTATTTTGGTGAGGCTACAGCTGTTGCATTCAGCCACACAGAATTCCACTCATTCAGCAAATTTCAGGCATGAGCTTCTGCTGTCAATCACAACTTCTCAGATGTGTTTCTGAGCTTTGGAGCTGATTGAATAAACTACATTTCATTTACTTTTGTGAAACTGAAGAATAAGTATGAAAAGCTAGAAGGCTGAGGCCTTTATGTAGCTGCGGCTGGGACCTTTCTTTGTGGAGTTTGCATGATCTCCTTGTGTCTGCGTGGGTTTCCTCCAGGTTCACGAGCTTCCCTCCCACATTCCAAAGACATGAAGGTTAATAGGTTAATAGGTAACCCTAAATTGCCCATAGGTGTGATTGTGAATGGTTATTTGTCTCTATGTGTCAGCCCTGTGATGAACCTGTCCAGGGTCTCTCATTCAGTGTCAGCTGGGATAAGCTCCAGCCCCCAACAACCCTCAAAAGGATGAGTGATTATAGACAATGAATGGACGGATGGATGTCTTTATTTTTTATGTTACAATACCAATGGCCAACCCATCATTTTGCGGTTTTATCCAGGCCTGTCCTGTGCACAACTACTCAGTAAGCAGAGTAGTGCAGGCGAGCAGGAGGATGAATTCACTATCAGGTTACATAACTCTACTCAGAATCTACGCAGCCCAGCTGCCTTCAATTAAAGAGGATTTTTTGGGCGGCTTTTATTCATTTCCATTCTATAAATCAGAGCTTGTGGTGGGATCAGGTAGAGAGCAAGAGGTTTCCTGTGTTCCTATGGATTCTCTGGTTTAGAGACAACATGGATATTTTGGGATTTTCAAATGTAGGGATATTTTCTGAGGCAAAACATTAGATTAGATTGGATCTGTATATTTCCTAAAACTTGTAACTGGATGTCTGTGACTTGCAACATCTACAAAGCATGGAGATTGTCTGCATAGAGGTGGTTGTGGCAGGGATACCAGTTCAAATTTGCAAAATTTAAGTTGGAAACCATATTGAGCTCCTACTATTGGGGTAAATCTAAGATCTGATTGTGATTACTTCTTTCTCATAACATCACCTGTTGTTTTAAGGCCATTCCTTTGAAAAGGATGGGGTTGAATGTTGTTGCTGGCTTTTAGCATATTCAAATTGGTACAGTAGCAATACTGTAAATGCCAATTCTTAACACAGTGGTTTTTTATTCCATAGGAAAAAGTGAAGGCGTGTAGTTAGGAGAGGAAACCCCATTAAAAACACTACATGCCACAGTACACGTTCATACTTGAAAGTATTTCTTTTAAACTCACTGTTTGTTTGGTCTGAGTGTGACTCTTCTATACATTGAGCTTTGTGTCACTCCACTAATCTCAACCATCTTTTTAAGTGGTATTTGAGTGAGTAGCTTAGTGGCATGACCGGACCAAATCACCCCCCCACCATATAGAGTTAAGAGCAGAAAAGGCTGAAAGGGGTAGAAAGAATCACTTCTGACAGAGTAACTCCTAAATTTTGATCCTCTTGCTGTCAGATGACCACTGGGCTTTTGAAGACGGAAAGCAGTGGGATGCCTTTCCTAAACTCTTTCTTGCTCTCTCTCTCTCTCTCACTCATTCCTTTGCTCTTCAAGCCAAGACACCATCTGGTATAGCTCCCCTAAGCCCCGCCTCCCCTTAATACACCACCAGCTTATCCTTGGCTACTACAACAGCAGCAGTGTTGCAGGGGATCCTGGAAAATGCAGTTTTACGTGTCTTGTCTGCCTCCTCCTGTGAATATTTTTTACCTCTACCAAGGAGATTGTGTATTTGATCTCATGTGTTTTGATGATATCTAAAAAAAATCTAAATGAATCATTTTTGGTGAAATTTTGAAGATCCGGGATTTTTTAAAGCAATGTGTGTAGGATAGATGGGGCTTTTTGAGTGGAACAACTACTTCACTTAGATGAAAAGAAAATATGTGAGTTTTAGCTTGGATTTCATTGTGCTTTATTGTCAGATTCCTTAACAAATTGTCTTGCATAACAAAATCTACTCTTTCACATAACTTTTATAACCTTTTCAAATGCATTTCCTGTTGCCTTTATTGATTGTGTCCCTTGGCGTGACAACAAGGCATTGAGAGGCTCAGTCACACTTGTTGCTTTTATTGTAACAATTCCTGTGTCCTGCATAAATGCTTGTTGTCATGCCAGCTGACCTGAGAATGAACAGTGGGAGTAAACCACCTCGCCAGTCAAAGCCTTGATGTTCAAACAAAACTGCTCCTGTCCTCGTCATACGCTTTGTTTGGTGGTGTGTCAGTGTGACCTGACTAATAAATACGTGCAGTTGTGGCACAATGTGTTTATAGAACAAAACTCTGCTGTCAGGAGAGTGCAGGAGCTTATTATCTGCATCAAACCAAAGAGGAGCACCTCTTACGTCCACCATTATCAGGGCCAAGTCATCAGCTAATGATGGACAATTCATTATGTTATTTGTCGGTAAATTGGATTGGCATATGCTAGATGTTTTCCATTAGTTTTGAAAGTAATGTAATAGGCTACCCTATTGAATAACTACTTAGTAAGACAGTTGCTTTAGTTAAAAGAATTACATTAATCATTTAACTCAATTGATAAACTTTAGTGGTGTGTCCATCAGTGAAGGCTTTGCTGTTTGTGTGGTAGTTTAAGTAGGTATGAAGCACCATACAATTTCAATTCATAAAAGTAAACATTATAAGATTCATCCTGCATCCTAACTGCAGATTTGAATACCACATTGTCAAAGTGCTTTGAATCCTGGTACACCCTAAGCTCCCTTGTCGTGCTGTGAAACACAGTAAAACATCTGAGTGCATATGTTTTTTATGCTTAATATTTCCTACTCGCCTTTCAAATGAAATGAATGTTCTAACTTCTCCACCTATCTGTTCTCTTCTCCTCAGGTGAAAGGTAAGAGCGGCAACCATAGAGCGAGTGAGTGAGGCGAAGCAGGCATGAGTGCGGACAGCCATCAGGAGGTGGTAACTACCCCTCCCCCGCCCAGTGGAGGCACTAAGGAGCGCTACTTCGACCGGGTCAACGTCAACGATCCGGAGTACATCAGGGCCAGGAACATGTCACCTGACCTCCGGCAGGACTTCAATGTTCTGGAGCAGAAGAAACGTGTCACACAGATCTTACAGAGCCCCGTAAGTCCAAAAAGGGGAAAGGGAACATATCTCATCCACAGAATATTCATTTATACTCAGAGTAAAGACTGAATGAAACATGATGGCACGGCACATTTCTTTTTGCCTACAATGTTCAGGGCTAGTGCAGACGTCTCAATTTTAAGTTTCAGGATTAGGTTAATGCATGCAGTTGCTAACTGAGGGAACATTGTCTAGTGGAGAACAAGATCTGCAACTGACAGCTGATAACTTGCTAAAATGGCCAGTGTAGAAGATAGTATAATGGTATCAGCTAAAGTCACAGTTTAGCCTTGATGTTACACAAAGCACACAGTGTGACGGAGATGGGAATGGATGTTGTGTGCAGCTTTAGTTGCATATTTGCTACTCAGAGCTCTGTTGCATAGAGTCCTGAAAGGAGGGCCTTCTCTAGAGCATGTTGATCACAGATACAGAACTTTTCTCCAAGAGTTAAAATCCATCGACTGGCTCAGGCTTTGGTATTGTTCCTCTTGACTGGAAGCCTATGTTAGTCTCAGATCTTTTGCTAAAAAAAACAGTGGTTGAGTTATTGAGATTACAGAGGACCCAATGGAGAACTTGCTGCAAGCGAAGAACTTTTCACCTCAGTGACTAATAGTTTGGGTAATCAGTTCCCATTTTCTCTTTTGTCAGTTATTATTCCCCAATCAAGTGATTTCTGAAGAAGTTACAGCAGTGAGTGCATCACATGTGCTTATGTGTTGATGCTTGTTGTGACACTGGCCACAGAATCACAGCAGTCAGCGGCCCGCTAAAACCCTAATATAACCACCAGCTACCACGCCCTGGCTCAGTGAGAGAGAGCCACTGCTGGAGCTTTCCAAGTGTCCTCCAGGCCAGAGGCTCTCATGTTGGGTCAGGTTTTGCTGAAGTAAACAACTCTGTGAGCACAGGGCATATTTCAGCCAACACGCATAATGTTGTGGTTTGATTTTCTTTCCTTGGAGGTCTGGATTCCTGAGAATTACTGTTGCTCTACTAGCCAAACGTGACTGAAGCACTTAGAGCCCCTTTGGGACCACGCATACTAATTATTTACGCACAAGTATTGGGATATGGTATTTTTGCTGCAGGTTTGTAGTTAGCTGCAACCTTCGCAAAGATCAGAATGCAATGCAAAGACTGTGATTGTAACAGGAAGCCGTTCAAACAGAGCATAAGCTACAGCAGCACTTAAAAATAAAGCAATACGTGACAGAGCCGGCGTTTACTGGGAAGCACACCATATATGCCCTAGATTTCTTAGATTTATTGAATATTTTTCATGCTTCATGGATCAGTTTGTTTCCTTTTTGACCCTGAATGCATTTGCGTCTTTGTCAGGAACTCAACACCTGGTAATAATAGTCCAAGTCTGCTCATCCAGACATAGACAAAGTCAAGCTTGCGGTCTCATGTAAAATAAAACAGTGTTGTCCTATCTTGCTGTTTGTATTGTGCCCTTTGAACAGTTGCATCACCCTGTGTGGAGATTTTACAGCAAGCCGCTTGCCTTTCAGTTCAGCCTACACAGTATTAGGGATATTTACTTTGCACTGTTGACTCAAGGCCGGTCTCTGGCTGAAGTGCTCCTCACTGTTTACAATGAGGTCTTACATTTGAAGAGGCAAGGTGTGTGTGTGTACGTCTGTATGTCTGTATGCATTTGTACTTTGAATTGCTTTGAAGTGACAAATACATTTGGAAGAGTCAACAGGGACACATTTATTGTAAAGTTAGATAAACGATAAGGTTAGACGTTGCTTGGGCAATGAACGTCATGAATGAATGTTCCTCACAAGCCTGGAAGACTGTGTGATATTGGGTAGTGGCTGCTGTGGTTTGGCCCGTTCCTTTCAAGCTTTAAATGTGATCCGAATTCTGCACATGCCCGATGTGGTTCACTGGCATTTTTGCCAGATGTCTGTAAGGGTAGCAGTGCTGATGCAGGTTTCCATGATACTCTGTGTATGTCTGTGAATGTGTCTATGTACTTGATTGAGTACCACAAGTGCAGTTAAGAGTGAGCAAATGAGTGAGTACATTTAAGGGCCCTGCTCTAAGCAGGCTGTTTGGTCTGTGGCCGACCATCACTGGTATTTTTTGCGGGGTGTCTGGCACAGCTGGCTCCACTGCATCCTTATCAGCAGCGATTCAGCATGCTGAGAGAGAAAGAGGCCATCAGTGAGAGATGGCTATCTTTACTGGCCTTTCAGCCTTGTGAATCAGTGATTCCATAAGTACATGTTCGGGCTAGTTCTTGGTTGATCTGCATAGTCTAAAATCATGGTGTATCACAGTAAATTAAACTAAAGTGAGGTTTTTAGTTAAAACAAAACTATTATTCTAGCTGTAGCAGTATTTTTTAGATCAACCCTAGATCAGAAGGCTATGTGTAATGTCAAAGATCTTGTTCACAGTGATGAACCCACAGGGAATCACTCAACACTGCAGTTTCCATCAGCTCTACAGCATTTTAGCATAGTTTTGCTCATTGCTTAGGTGACGATGTGCCACTCCAAATAAATGCTAATGTTGCTACATGTCTGCTGAATGTGTAAGTAGGCAACTGTAGGCAACCCATCAAGCAACTATATAAGGTGATAATTGGCTAATATTGTAGTGTTTACAGTTCATTCTGCTGCCCTCACACAGCCAAACATCAATAAATACAGCTTTTATTGTTTGCTGTTAATGTTGAATACCTTTGGATTTTTTTAAATTAAAGGCTACTTGTTATCACCGGTGATAACTGTAATTTCACAGGCTGTCATAGGTTACCCACTGGTGTATTACCCTTGCGGTCATGCAGTATTACGTGTATTATTCCCGCTTGATGTGGTTCTTGAACTTGAGCCAACCAGCTCACAGTCAGTCAGTAACAGGTGGCTCCCTGTGGACTGTTTTCAGCTCTGGCATGAAGACAGTTGGCGCCTCAGCGCTGGTTTACTCATATTCAACAACAACAATAACAAGTGTGTGTCACCAGCTAGACATGCACACGTGGGCTCGTTCCTAAACATTTCATGCATTTCTTTCACTGTCTTTTCAGTCTATTGCTCTCTCTCTCTCATGGTAAGCTACAACAACAA